TGATCTGGGTGTTGTCTGGCGGCTGATGGCTTGCTGTCCTCCTCCTCGTCGTCAGTAGCGTTGACCCACGCCAGGATTCCCTGCGCGCCTTTCCTCAACTCGCGGCGAGCCTGAGAACCAGATATGAGCATGCTCTCAATTGGCGGCGACTCATGACGCTCCGTATCACTATTTTGGCCGGAAGGGGGTTTAGCAACGAGCGGCTCACCGTTCAGTTTGACTTCGTTGGTCTGAAAGTTGATATCCGGGTTGTGTCTGGTCAGCCATGGCTTGCCCAGGATAGCATCATAGCGGCTCAACGGAAAAACTGTGAAAGATTGGGTGTCGCTGAAGTCTTTCACGATAACCTTTACCGGACCGGTCCTCTGCAGTTCCGATGATGTCGATGAGCCATCAGCCAGGGTTACCTTCAGTGTTTCGTCCTTGCTCTCCGTAACAAGGCCGTTTCTTTGCACGAAAGCTTCCGATATGAAGTCGTGCGTCGATCCCGAGTCAATAAGCATAATTGCCCGGCGGCCGTTGATCCTGCCCTCAACACGGAGAAGGTCATGCTCCAAAGGAAGCTCCGTGTCCTGTACTGCGATATCAACGTTGCTGACATGGGATTCCTGTTCGGCAACATCTTCCGAATCAGCTTGCAGCGTCGGTTCTTCCAGCTCTAGTACGCTGTAACGGTTGCGTATGTCAACCGGGTAACCGTTGGGTGCTTTCCGCTTGGTCGCCAGCGAGCGCACGCCATTTTTCACTGGCGACCAGCGTTTGGGTGTTGATTGCTGGGACAATCCCGAGCTAGGTGACCTGGCTTCCGACAAGCGAAGCATCCACCCTGCCGACTCAGGTGACGCCTCTCCTCCGGTGTTAACCTTTGGGGTCGTACGGGCTGACTTCGGTGCTGAATCGGGTTCGGCTGTTGGTCCGCCGTTTGCGCTGACCTGATCGCTTGGCTCAGATCAGTGGGGTGCTCTCGCAGCACCCGGGTCTTGACAGATGGGTGCAGTCCATTTACGAACAGCAGTCCTCGGGTCAGCTCGTCGATCTCAGGCACTTGTAGGCTTAGGCGCGAGAACTCGGTGACATAGCTCTCCAAGCTTGAGTGCTGCCTGACAGCGAAGAGATCCAGTCGCACCCGCTCTTGATGATGCAACGGACCGTACACCTTGGCGAGGGCTTCACGCAGCGCTGGCCACGTCGAGAACTCCACACCCGTATCCAACGATGCGATGAGCCATAGCTTGGCGTTGCCGCTCAGGAAGCCCGCTGCGTAATCCACCATCACCGATGAGTCGGTGATTCCCAGTGACCGAATCGCCAGCTCAATGGAGAAAGCCCACTCCTTGAACTGCGATGGCTTGCCATCGAAGATCGGCGGCTCCTTAGCGTGCCGAGGCTTCCCGGACGAATGAGCGGGCGGCACAGGGAGCGGTTGTTGTCGGTTGCTCAGACGGGCGCTGACTTGGCGACTGGCTTCACGGACCTCGCTGGCCAACCTGAATAGCAACACAGAAAAAACAAGGATCGCCACGACAATGGCGAGCTCCAAGAACACCATGTTAACCATCCTCCGCTACCAGTTAACCGTTTGAAGGTATTCTTGGAAAAGACAATGCTTGCTCAAGGCAACACAACTGATATAGGGCACTTCGTGCCCTAAGGTGATAACGCGCGTGCTGACAGGATAGGGAAAGGTGCAAGATACAGAGCTAGAGGGCAGATAAGGTTAGCGCTAACAGGGAACTGTTACACCTTGGGCTTGCAATTCGTCCATCTCGGGTTTGGGGAGACGGTAGGCAGCCCGTGATGGAGGAAGCGTGCTGGGCCCATAACCCAGAGGTCGATGGATCGAAACCATCCTCTGCTACCAGTGTAACCGTTTGAAGGTATTCTTGGAAAAGACAATGCTTGCTCAAGGCAACACAACTGATATAGGGCACTTCGTGCCCTAAGGTGATAACGCGCGTGCTGACAGGATAGGGAAAGGTGCAAGATACAGAGCTAGAGGGCAGATAAGGTTAGCGCTAACAGGGAACTGTTACACCCCAGTCTAACATCGGAAGCCTCGCTCTATAAGTTCAAAGCTGCCCTCAGGAAATTTACAGCTGACCATGCTTATGCAATCAACGGAATTCCGCCGCCTTGCAGTTGATTTTCCCCATTTCTCTCCTCATCAATCCCTACTTGTCTTTGTACATACATCTACATCTACTGTTCTTTCAATCAAATGAACCCCTCGATAGGCACATTACCTTTGGGTCATTTCATAATAATAATAATTATTATATCATGAAAGAAGCCTCTTGTCCGGGCCAATAACACCAAAAACGCAGATAGATGTGAGCTCAAAAATGGAACGAAAAATAGCAAATAGAATCAAAACTCACGATGGAGTCAAACTCACGATGGAATCAAACTCATGATGGAAACTACAACCCAATGAGTTGGAAAACCAAACACAGAATTAGATATTGGGAATAGAGTCAGACATGACAACAACCGAAATCAGTACACCAAAAATCTGTCCTACAAAAAAACAAAGGAACAAGAAAAACAAGAAAGACGAAGTACAAAGAATCCCCAAAAAAGAGGGGAGAACGGGATGAAAGAGGACCGGAGAGCGGCAAACCCCAGGAGGACTTAGCGATTATTATAATTATAAAAATGTAGAAGAGAAAAGGACATGTGGATACGAGTTAAGAGTAACTCTCCATCACTGTAACATGATACTATATACAGTCAGAAAGTGCAATAACTAGGCACAAAACTGACATGTGTTGAAGCTAGGTGTCAGAACGTCGAATGTCTCAGTACTCTGTCAGTTTTGTGCCTAGTTATTGCACTTTCTGACTGTATATAGTATCATGTTACAGTGATGGAGAGTTACTCTTAACTCGTATCCACATGTCCTTTTCTCTTCTACATTTATTTATGGCTCAACATCCGAGTTTCAAATAATAAAATATTTAAATAACCGACGAGGAGACAACAGTCGTAAAATAGCAATGAAAAATATCAATTGTGAACCTTTTCGTGTGACTATCATCAGTGGAACATCGTCACATAATAAGAATCACTAAAACAACCAGTTATATACATGTAGCTAGAATATGAAAAGAAGCGCGAGAATGCAGCACAGCTCGCGGTTATGCATAACGCGTGTAGTGTGAACCTTTGCAGTGTATCTGAGAATGGTAGCAGTAGATGAATGTGGCAGCTGAACGGAGAACATTTTCACTATCTCGCGAACACATGAAAGCTCGTTCAGAGCTGAAAAAGAACAATGATATCATCATCACTCGGCCAGACAAAGGACGGGCAACAGTTATCTTAACGCGAATGGAGTATAATACAAAAATGGCTACCATACTGGACGACGGGTGTAAATTTGTGGAACTCGGTCCGGTTTCAACACATGATAAAACATTGGCTCGGGAGAAGGAAATAGTAACCTATCTGAAGAAACTCCGAGCAGCAAAGGACATAACAGAATCCGAGTTTTTCCGAATCAAGCCTATCGGTTCGGTACGTCCACGCATGTACGGCCTCCCCAAGATACATAAACCATCCTGCCCGCTTAGACCAATACTCTCCATGATAGGATCGCCCCAATACGCCATATCCAAGTGGCTCTGCGGCATGATACAACCGGTATTAGAGCATTATTGTAAACACAACGTTAAGGACACGTTTGAATTCGTTGAAATCCTTCGTGACAACCCTATCCCACCTACAGCCCACATGTGCTCTTTCGATGTTGTAAGCTTGTTTACAAACGTACCACTAGACGAGACAATAGATATCTGCGCGCGAAGAGTATACCACAATGATGATGACATTGATCTTCCATGGTTACCGGAGACGGCATTTCGACGTTTGATGCTGATGGTGACAAGTGGCGTAGAGTTCTCGTTTGGTGATGTTATGTATAAGCAGACGACAGGAACTCGACAAGCCATGGGGCCAACATTTTCGTACCACTCACCCTGGATGTAAGCTTAGCTATGGGCAAAGTGCATTCTCTGCAGTTGAAGTAATAGGAAGAGAGCCTGATCGAGCCCGTCGCAAACTGCTCGAGGCGATTGAGATTCGTGATGCCAAGCCCTATGTGAACATAAGCACCGGATGGGATTTGTTGTGAATTTTTCTCAGCTTCCCCTGCTGCTACTTCAATATTACTGAATAATTATAATATGAGGCGGGTCACTCAAATATATTCTGTTCCTGATGCCTCGTCGCGTCCCTGGTGGTAACAGTTTGGCATGGAAGTTTAACCTCATAGTGCATTGACACATGGGGCTCCGTGCTCCCCTCCTGTGCTAGAATTAACACCATTATTATTTGGCATGTACCCTCACTTCGTAGAGCACAACGGCGCGCTCTTCTTCTCCGTGATGTGCACAGTTGCACCTTTTCTCCCCCCCCCCCCCCCCTCTGTATAGAGGTGACATAACTCGCATCATTTTATTTTTTGGCGCTACACTCTGCGTAACGCCATTCACAGAGCACAATGCGCGCTACCTTCTGCTGCTTCTCCTTCGTGATGTGCTAGTTGCGCCTTTTCTCTCTCTCTGTCCCCCCCCCCCCCCTTCTGCATACTAGGTGACATAATTCGCATCTTTTTTTTGGCGCTACACTCTGCGTATATACTGCTCTTGTGTGGCTTCCACGGTATTCATTGTTATTACCTGACGATGGCCAAGTGCCGAAACGTTGTAAAAATAACGGAACTGGTTCGGATGTGATGTGCAGCGCTATGGGAATGGGTGTGTCCACCCGAATTCTTTTCATTGACTAATGCCACTATGGTATCATTTGCTTGAGCAAGTGATATCGGACATACTGAACATAAATGTACTATTTGTTGTGATCGCTAGAGTACCTCTCAACTGCTATTCATGGCTTTCAGTAGGATTCACTTGCGACAATAGTATTTTATATTTATGCCTGTATGCGTTATTGCATGCACTTGTCTTCAATGCAAGTCCCACGAAAGAAAAATGAGCCAGTGGAGTACACCCGCACAGTGATGGGTGCTAGGTGGCAGCTACATGTACGTGTAAAACTATGAATATAATAAAATATCACAGTACAGTAGAAACAGGTTAGAAACAGGTTATGCACAACTGCGAACTGCGCTGACTAGATAGCTGGGACAAAACATAGAAAAAGGACAAACAAAGGCACAATGCTTTGAAGTCAGGCAGTTAATCTTACATTGACTACAATGAGTACACAAACTGATTGCATGGAACAAAGATCAGACTGCAGGACTTGATGTGAGCTAGTGACAGAATTGCTACAGAGTACATGTACTGTTCAAAAAGAGTATGTGCAACTGGAGTAAGTATGTAATGTACTGGATAGGTTGAATGAACAATGTGTTGAAATCTACCCGCGGTTACTTTCCCAGCAACAGCAGCAGCATTGCATGAAGATGTGGTCATCCAAGTAGCTTCACTGTATGCAGGGCAGCTAGTAGCTGTAGTTATGATGGGGAGTGTTCAATAGTCTCCGGCTTGAAACACAACCTTACAGGGCATTGGCATGGCAACCTGTAGATCAACAGTATAATACACAGTAGATTCAAACACACATTGCATTATTGTGACAAATGGGAAAGAAAAGACAGTTTTTAAGGGAGCTGCAACGGGAAAAGCCTGAAGAGAGATAGTTTGAGGGAGCTGCAACGGGAAAAGCCTGAAGAGAAATACTTCCTTTGTATTCAAGCCGTTTAGCACATTGGACTAATAGAGTCTTACGGTAAACAGGCACACCAGATTTCCCGTAAGAGAACCACAAGCATACAAACATCAGCAACAGCGACATCTCCAAACATGTCACCTGCGGATAACCCCTACGTTTCCCTACCACTCGCGGCCGCTGAGAGCCAATTCAGGACACCGTAGCATAGGCGAATGAAATGAACGAATTCAAAATACAAACACACGAACAAAAGTGAGAATCAGAACAACATCATTCCTGAACTCTCCATCGAATGTGGGTGTATTGCATGAGGGTCGGTGGGAGGGTTCTGCTCCAACCCCAAACTTCTGACCTCCTTTTTCCATGGTTGGCTAACGCCCTCCCCTTTGTATTGGCTTTTGCCACTGGACGATGAAATAAAGGAAATATAATAAAAAAAACGGCAGGCCACTGAGAAGTGGAACAATCATGTGTGCTTTTGTTTGGTGCCGAAGTGTTTGCACTCACCAGATGAGCAAGATGACAAATGTGATATCCAAAGAGGAAGTGCTTGCGTGGCTTGCATGCTCAGTCTTAATCATCTCCATACTGGCGGCAGTCAATCCGTCTTCCCTTGGGAACACAATTGAGAGCAAAATCAAGGAGTTGGCAAAATGAGTCTCATCAGCTCGAGTTCTAGTACAGTATGGCGCACTGAAGAGCCCTGCACAAAAATCAGAAAATGTCCAGTTACTACTTACTATGAACCGTACCTGCATGACAAAGTATATGTAGTCACAAAATACTGAGCACAGGTCATACCATGAACAGCGCTCTATACACACAATGCACATGTAACAGTGTGTGTGTGTGTGTGTGTACATGTGTATGTGTGTGTGTATGTGTGTGTATGTGTGTGTGTGTGTGTGTATGTGTGTGTATGTTTGTGTGTGTGTGGTGCGTGTGCAAAACGGGCATCAACCCGACTTTGCACTGAAATGCTAAATGGATGGAGGTTGGTTCGGATATGGCTTAACCAACAAGATCGCTTCCAACACGTCTGTCACTACAAAATTCATGTACTCATACCTCGGAATCTTAGTGGGTATTCATCATCAAAGATTAACATTGCTAGATGGAGAGCAAGATGACAGATAGAGAGAACTAGCGCCGCAACACTTATCACGTAATGACCTCTGGATAGAGCCGTTGCATCCTCTTCTGCACAGTGCAAGATCAGTAGAAAAAACCTGAAATCAGTTCAAAAATAAATGGAATTACGCTTTCTCTCTCGCTCTCTCGCACTCTCTCTCGCACTCTCGTGCTCTCCCTCTCGCTTTCTCTCCCTCTCGCTTTCTCTCCCTCTCGCTTTCTCTCCCTCTCGCTTTCTCTCCCCTCGCTTTCTCTCCCCTCGCTTTCTCTCCCTCTCGCTTTCTCTCCCTCTCGCTTTCTCTCCCTCTCGCTTTCTCTCCCTCTCGCTTTCTCTCCCTCTCGCTTTCTCTCCCTCTCGCTTTCTCTCCCTCTCGCTTTCTCTCCCTCTCGCTTTCTCTCCCTCTCGCTTTCTCTCCCTCTCGCTTTCTCCCTCGCGCACTCGCGCACTCTCCCTCTCGCTTTCTCTCTCACTCGCGCACTCTCCCTCGCGCACTCTCGTGCTCTCCCTCTCGCTTTCTCTCTCACTCGCGCACTCTCCCTCTCGCTTTCTCTCTCACTCGCGCACTCTCCCTCTCGCTTTCTCTCTCACTCGCGCACTCTCTCTCGCACTCTCGCGCTCTGCTCTCTCTCTCTCTCTCCCTCTCGTGCTCTCCCCTCTCGCGCACTCTCCCTCTCGCTTTCTCTCTCACTCGCGCACTCTCTCTCGCACTCTCGCGCTCTGCTCTCTCTCTCTCTCCCTCTCGTGCTCTCCCCTCTCGCGCACTCTCCCTCTCGCTTTCTCTCTCACTCGCGCACTTTCTCTCGCACTCTCGCGCTCTGCTCTTCTCTCTCTCTCTCTCTCTCTCTCTCTCTCTCTCTCTCTCTCTCTCTCTCTCTCTCTCTCTCTCTCTCTCTCTCTCTCTCTCGCACACTCGCGCTCTGCTCTCGCTTTCTCTCTCTCTCCCTCTCGTGCTCTCCCCTCTCGCGCACTCTCCCTCTCGCTTTCTCTCTCACTCGCGCACTCTCTCTCGCACTCTTGCGCTCTGCTCTCTCTCTCTCTCTCCCTCTCGTGCTCTCCCCTCTCGCGCACTCTCCCTCTCGCTTTCTCTCTCACTCGCGCTCTCTCTCTCGCACACTCGCGCTCTGCTCTCGCTTTCTCTCTCACTCACGCACTCTCCCTCGCGCACTCTCGTGCTCTCCCTCTCTCTCTTGCTCTCCCCCTCGTGCTCTCCCTCTCGCTTTCTCTCTCCCTCGCGCACTCTCGTGCTCTCCCTCTCGCTTGCTCTCCCTCTCGCTTTCTCTCCCTCTCGCTTTCTCTCCCTCTCGCTTTCTCTCCCTCTCGCTTTCTCTCCCTCTCGCTTTCTCTCCCTCTCGCTTTCTCTCCCTCTCGCTTTCTCTCCCTCTCGCTTTCTCTCCCTCTCGCGCACTCTCCCTCGCGCACTCTCCCTCGCGCACTCTCCCTCGCGCACTCTCCCTCGAGCACTCTCCCTCGAGCACTCTCCCTCGCGCACTCTCCCTCGAGCACTCTCCCTCGCGCACTCTCCCTCGCGCACTCTCCCTCGCGCACTCTCCCTCGCGCACTCTCCCTCGCGCACTCTCCCTCGCGCACTCTCCCTCGCGCACTCTCCCTCGCGCACTCTCCCTCGCGCACTCTCCCTCGCGCACTCTCCCTCGCGCACTCTCCCTCGCGCACTCTCCCTCGCGCACTCTCCCTCTCGCACTCTCCCTCTCGCACTCTCCCTCTCGCACTCTCCCTCTCGCACTCTCCCTCTCTCGCACTCTCCCTCTCGCACTCTCCCTCTCTCGCACTCTCCCTCTCGCACTCTCCCTCTCTCGCACTCTCCCTCTCTCGCACTCTCCCTCTCTCGCACTCTCCCTCTCGCACTCTCCCTCTCTCGCACTCTCCCTCTCTCGCACTCTCCCTCTCTCGCACTCTCTCTCTCTCGCACTCTCTCTCTCGCGCGCTCTCTCTCTCGCGCGCTCTCTCTCTCCCGCGCTAACTCTTCAGCGCGCTCTCTTTCGCGCTCTCTCTTGTGAGCGGGTCTGTAAGCATCACAGTAAGTGTGATATGTACCACATCCCAAAATCCAAAGACTTTATTGATTCACTAAACAAACTCACTCGTGCTAGTTGTGCATGAAGTTGACTCCACCTTCTCTGGTCCTGTGGTTTGTGTTCGTGCTGGAGTTGCTGTGGCCTTCATTGTGGCTGGTGTCGTTGGTGGATGAGGCTGCGACGTGGGTGTCGTTGGTGGATGAGGCTGCGACGTGGGTGTCGTTGGTGGATGAGGCTGCGACGTGGTAGACGCAGTTGTAGTGGCTGGGGGAGTTGTAGTAGGGACATCTATACAGAAAATGAACAGAAACACCAGGCAGTGAGTGGGGAAATGATGGGTGACAGAAGTGGATATTTCAGGCATACATGTATGCGTTCACCGAATATGGGTTCAGAATTGGTGTCTGTAATTGCTCCAGGTATCTTCAAACATTCAACATTCAGATTTTCAACTACTAGTATCCTAAATGTTGTCCACCAAGCTTCTAAAAACAGCACCGTATACAATGATCAACACAGAAGAAGTAAATCACAGGTAATTTGTTCTTTTGGTAGGTCATGCAAGCTCCCACAGTCTCCACAAGCCATTCACAGACAATCCCAGCAAGATTATCTGATTCCTGTTTAGTATGAAGGTGTAGCCAAGGCTGCACTGTCCACTTCAAACATGGTTGAAGTAGAGATAATGCAAAATACAATTTCTTACCAGCTGTAACAAGGTCATGCCCTTCAACTGTACGCAATCCGTAATGGTGTTGTAGACCAGTGACACGTTTGGATAACAGGTAGATTGTGCACAGCATAGACAAAAAACACGCCCTTAGGGAAACATTATCACTGTTGAAGTTACGGTAATGCTATGGTGTTAAATTGAAGTTCATGAGCTCTATAGAAAATACAGGTCTACCCTTGTTAGTGTGCAGTTACCAGACAAACCTCATTAGGCAACGAACCAAAATCCCCCTGATTGAACATGTAAATAGTCGTAAATCCAAATCCAGATAAGAGGTAGTTCGTTTGTGTAGTGTGCACAACTTTTAAATCTGTCTATCCAATCATCGTCCTGATAAGTGATAACGAGTATTGGTTACAACTAACATGTCAACAAATGTTGTCCCTAGTTCTCGCTATCCCTGACTCATTTTAAAACTAAGACTTTCTGATATACACACTGTGGACACGCATAGCTGATATTCAGGTTACCACAGCACAGTATGTACAGGATGCTTGGGGAAGGTAGAATGGCAAGGCGTGCAGGGGCAGGGGTCACACTGCATATGTCTTTATGTGGTGAGTGTGTGACTCCTAATCCTGGCTGTGTCAGACGCAGGGCGAGAGGGGAACTACAAAAACTAGTACAACTACATGATTGTAGAGGAGACGGTTTCAAATAGGAAATAAGTTGCAAACCGGAACGGACTCAATATTTATTTTCTCTCTTGGTATTTGGATTAGAAAACATTATGTCACAGTGAGACTAGGATGTGTTTTACTCCGAGTCAAAATTTCATATGGCTCTGCGGTGACCAGACGCGCCACACCAAGCAGGTGAGTTTTTGACGTGTTGCTTCGCTCTGCGACTTGAGTTTTACGTCTTTTGAAAAATCAACTTCTTGTCGCAGGTAAACAGCGGCTCGCCTCTCGCCAATAAAGCACCTTATGCCAATAAAAACTAATGGAAGCACACACAAGGCTTATTGTAACTCTGTACTGGCCGTTGTGGAGCGATAGCAATTACCTAATTTCAGAACTCAGAGCGAATTTGACGTGCACTCTAAAACCTTTCCGGTTTGGAACCACCCCTGATTTGAAGCGAAAAATTGGGCAACTTGGAGGCAATGGGCCAACACAAAGGAGTGGCTCAGTTCGATTGACTCTGGCCTCATAGCAAACTTCAACATGCCAGTTTCCTTCCAAAAACATATTTCGAGTGAACAATCTACGCTGATGATCGGTTTGGGTGTATACAAATTTGGCTGTCAAACCGTTCCGGTATCGAACCGTCTCCTCTACATGTCCACCGGTGCACCTGTAGACTGAGTCTGTGTAGGTCTACATCATAATTATATGATAGCAAAGAGAACACGTACAACTACGGAGGATTAGCAAGACGAAATTCGCGTTCGCGTTCGCAAACATTTTTCAGAACTGGATTGCGAACTTTCGCATTTTTCGTTCGGAAAAGTAGTCGGAACACGAATCGCGGATTCGTGTCAGGGCAGTCATAAATTTACCACGCTGTACTGTCTGTACACAATGTACGTCGTGTCAACGTCATGCATGTGCGAATTCTGTTTGCTAATCCTTCTCATAACGCGAATTCCGCCACGGAGTTCGACTTTCCTTGGAGAGCGAACGCGAACGCGAATTTCGTCTTGCTAATCCTCCGTAATGTTCCGAGTGGGTTACTTGCTGTAACATTAAAATTATCATTAATTTTATACTTTTTGGTCCAAGCTTACCGTTTAGAAGTGGCACGACGAGTAGGACGACCATCATCATGATCATAGTAGTGGCTGTTCGCGACTTCATTTTTTCCCGATTCCTTCAGTACAATCGTAAACGTGAATGACTTGATGGCGAAGAGTCGGCGAAGACCAGTCGGCAACCTTGCTCCAACGGTGCAAACGATGCTTATTCCTGCGGGCACTGGAACGAGACGTTGTCTTGGGCAGCACAGGATACACGACGGCGATAACAGAACGTTACGGACTAACGAGAACGTTGACGACAGGACATCCGAAACGAACGACGGCAAACATGGACGTGTCGAAACTGTAATGATGAGCTGAAGTGCCGGTATTCTGAACTTTATTCTGACTCGATGCGCGCCATTCGAACAGAACTCTACTCCTACGGTACCATTCTCGCTGAAGCAGTGAAGGTGTTGGCTGACAAGGTGAAATGCTGCAGCGGACGTGAGAGGAGAAGGTGCCACTGGCACTGCCCCACACCACCAGCTGACAATACGGAGGATTAGCAAGACGAAATTCGCGTTCGCGTTCGCTCTCCAAAGAAAGTCGAACTCAGTGACGGAATTCGCGTTATGAGAAGGATTAGCAAACAGAATTCGCACATGCACGATGTTGACACGACGTAGGCAGTACAGCGTGGTAAATTTATGACTGCCCTGACACGAATCCACGATTCGTGTTCCGACTACTTTTCCGAACGAAAAATGCGAAAGTTCGCAATCCAGTTCGCGAACTGAAAAATGTTTGCGAACGCGAACGCGAATTTCGTCTTGCTAATCCTCCGTAATGTAGACTCTATCATCATTCAACTCAGGATCAATGTTCCCACATGTCCGCTGGAGGCCGTTCGCTCTCTGATCTCATCATTTCAGATCCATCGTCTTTGACACTTATAAGTTGCATTAGCAGACCTATGCGCCAGGACTAGCGCTAGCCTACTCGCGATCCCAGCCCGGCAGGCTGCAACCGTACAGCAATCCTTTCACTTATGCAAGTTACTGAGAGATTCCGTAATTCGTGATGAAATCGTCGGCCGAGGTGAGTTGGAGATCTGTGGGGACACCGTGCAGGTTCTTCCTGGAGATGGGATTGTATCCTCCGTAAGGGTTTTTGTGTACGGCTGCGAACCTGGACTGTACGATGGCCATATTGCCTCGTCCCTAGCACAGTATGGAACAATTGTCGGAAACATTGAGAGTGAATCCATTTCGTATGGCGGGGTGAAAATTCTCACGGGTGTTCGAAGGGTGCTGATGATCCTGAAGCATCCCGTACCGTGCAAACTTTGTATCCGTAGTACAGGTCTACTCTCCATATAACGTAATCTCTGGGACCACGCAAACATTATGTTATGTAGAAAACCGTGGGTAAAATACAAGATGCACCTCAAAATGAAGGGTATTACGAGGCGGGTTCAACCGTGCAAACATATACACACTGTACCACCATCGACATCAGATACCATCAATGCCGCAGAATATGTGCACATAGGACTAAACTGGCTAGCTACGGCTACAGCTTGATTGTACCGCGCACGTGAATCTACGTTGTATCGAGAGTGTACACGTCGGGGACTGCGCGTATAGGGTGCGTTATGCCGAGGTTTACGTTATGTAGGACTAAACTGGCCTAAACTGCCTAGCTACAGCTATACTACCGGTTGATCATACCATGCACGAGAATTTATGTTGTATCGAGAGTGCGCACGTCGGGGACCGCCGTAGCGTGTGTTATGTCGAGGTTTATGTTATGTAGGATTATGTTGTGTAGAACAAATTTTGTGTGGGTGTGATGCTGTTTCGGCGCGGGATTTGATTTTTTTATGTACTAACGAGGTTTATGTACAAGTGAGAGTTGTTATATCGAGAGCAGACCTGTAGCATGCACAGTACCTATCATCATGGCCAGCCGCAAACATGCTACAGGTGCCATAGCTCTGAGCACGTTGCACGAAACTGCCCCAGGAAATCAGCTGCCCCTGAAGACCGTACATACGCCAGCAGCGTACTACTACAGGACAGGCCAGTTACACCTTCAGAGTTCAGGAGACCCCGCCAGGTCCAGCGAAGTACCTGTGGATGACCCTCAAGAGACCACAAAGCCGAACAAGGAAGTAGAACCTGAACAATCGTATCATCACAATGATCGTAGCAGCAGTGGGGAGACCACTGTATCGCAGATCACTGTACCACAGCAGCCACAGCAGCCACAGCAGCCTGGAAGAGAGTCTCAAGAGCGTCTCAAATACCTCGACCACGGACACAGAGTGTACAGCATGCAACACCAGCCAAGCCTGCCTTTGCCCGCCCACGTGGGAAAGCAGGCCACCCCTCCCCTGATGATGAGGGTTTTTGTTCTAGCGACGGGGAAGCACACATTCTCCGCCACGGTCGTATCTCCAATGGCCTCTGCTCTGACCGACCCTCAGATAGCATGGATGGAGGAGAGCACACCTCGTGAGCGCCAGAGACTTGCCCAACGAGTGCATCAAAGACGCTCAAGCCGCTAGCTCCTGACTGAGCTACGGTTTTACGTCCGAAGCACAGGGCTCACAGGTCTGATATGCTGACCTGCGCTGTGGAACACTCTGCCAGCCAGTGTGCGTTCCTGCAAAGCCGTGGCCGATTTCGCAGCAGCCGTGTACCCGTACACTCTCAGGCCATAAACGTTTTAAAGAAGAGAAACAGTGACATGCACCCCCCCCCCCCCACACACACACACGGACAGTATGTATAGGCATATAACGAACGGTCTTTTCCTGTTAGCTCTGTTTATCCAATACATGAGATAAAACGTCTTTCTTGTTGTTTTCCCCCTACATGTAGCTGCTTCCAGCATGGTAAACGACAGTACCATGGCCTTTTCAGATTTTCATTGTACCTATTTGTAGTACCTCCCGGGATCAGTATTTCCACTTGAAATTATATCCACCCCAATTCCTCATTCTTAGCATTCTTTTATTCGCTTCCATGTCATTGGGCTTATTGCCCGTTTGGTATTGCGAATTCAAATAAAAAACAACAACAGGTTATGGTGACCAGTCCACATGCCGGGTGACGGAGTGAGAAACGTAGATCTACATACCGCATTACCGGTAACAAGTTCCTGCACGAGTTGACCTCGAGGGCGGTACCGCGGAATCCAGTGCGCGTCGCGAGAGCGGCAAGGGCTGGATGAACATCGCCCATCGGCCATCGTTGTTTTGGAAGAAATCGCAACTTTCGCAACTTTCTTCATTTTTGCGAACTATTTCGCAACTATTCCGCAACCTTGACCCCTTGGCTTGGGGTCAAAAGGTCAAGTCACGAACTACAACTAGTTAACTGTACATGTACATGTCGGACAATCGCATACTCGGTCATTTATCGCCTGCCTTCAGACTCATTTCAGAGAAACAGTTGATCAACGGTAGTTACGATAATGTGCATTCCCTTTTCCGTGCACTGGAATGATGTAGGATACGTGCAAAAGGCTATTAGCACTGTGTATTATTATTATTATTATTATTTGTTTTACATCGGAAGCTCAACAGTGCAGCTGCACAAATATGAAGAGGCCGATGGGCGTAAAGTGGTGGTTCACAGCAGAAAGGGGTGTACGAGTTTGCTGTCGCTGTACTTCTGCTATTTCTGCTCTTTCTTGGTGGTTTTTGCACAAGAACTCTCCAATTTTAAGTTGCGATATTAGCAACTTTGGAGCTTTTTCTGAAAATATGGATGCGATTTCAGCAACTTGCACTTGTTTTGGCACGGTTGCGAAAAGCATAAGTTGCGAAAAATTATGGCATCTTTGGGAAAGGGCTACCCACCACCCATGGCTGTTTCTGGACTTGTTTTAGGTTTGGATCCCGCGCACGGACAGAATGGGCACAAAAATATGAAAAAATTGTAAATGCATTTTTTCGGCTCCTGGGTGGCTCGCACACCGTGGCACTATGCCGGAATTTTGAGTTTTTCCGGCCTGGAAAGCCTGTCAGTGAGGCGCAAGAACTTTTTAATCGTATCCAGAGGGCCAGCATAGTGGCAGGAGTGTGTGGTCAAAATTTCACTCAAATCCGTTGAGAGACACCAACGTTACGGTCAATTGATTGCCATAATTATGAAATTTATGGGTAGGCTGTAGGGTTTGGCGGATAATAGTGAGGTTTTGCATTCCGAATTTCGGTTCGGCGTTCTTCGGTCTTTTGTCGAACATCAAAATGTCGAATTTTCGCACCAACGTTTGTTTTGCAAGTCGAAAATGATGTGTTTTCATTTCGTGAGCCCCAGCATCAGCAACGACCTGTCCCGTGCTCCTTTTCTTGCTGATTCCAACGAACTTTGATCGCCCAAAGAGTCGAGGGCCAAACCTGCCTCCTCAGTCGCCTCAGAAAAACCAACTCCATGGCCAAGTCAAATTTTATGCGTGTCGCCATAGTCTTTTCAGCCACACAGAAGACGGTGAGGACACTCCAGGCGAAAGAGAATCGACAGGCAGTGGAGAGGAGCAATCAGAGGTAGCTGACGATGCTATGTCGCCAAAGACGCCTGCGAAGCGATGCCGAGATAAGAAACCTCTTTGAATAAATCACGCGCTAGCGCTCTTCTACAAGAAAATGCATCCGAAAAATATTTTCGGCAAAGTGAGCTTTTTCCGAACAAACACTCCGAATCTTCGTGTGCATTTTCGACCTTGCTCCCGCGTGCCGAATCTTTTTGCCGAATTTCGGAATGCAAAACCTCACTAATGCTCGAAAAGGTGGCAGATTCTGCTCGAAAAGCAGTGAAATTGGCAGAACCATACCTTTGAGCCTCCCAAGTTGGGTTGTCTGTTGCCTTGCGTTTTCGAGTTGTAGTTAGACCGGTTTGTCCAATGGTCTTACTAGTCTCGTCATCATCATCCCGTAACGTTCCGACATTCTTTGTTGCCGAGGGACATAGCTCGACGAGTGGTGCACATCTTCGTGGCGCATGCCTTCCCCTCATTGGAACTTTCCACACCTGAGCTTTCCAAGTTAGAAGGTGAGCCTCCCAAGTTGGGTTGTCTGTTGCCTTGCGTTTTCGAGTTGTAGTTAGACCGGTTTGTCCAATGGTCTTACTAGTCTCGTCATCATCATCCCGTAACGTTCCGACATTCTTTGTTGCCGAGGGACATAGCTCCACGAGTCGTGCACATCTTCGTGGCGCATCCCTTCCCCTCATTGGAACTTTCCGCACCTGAGCCTTCCAAGTTGGAAGGTTGTTGGTTTGTGCTTCGTAGATGTGTTGGAGCTAGGTGTCAGGTCGTCGAATGTGTCAATATCCTTGTCAGTGTTGTGCCTCGTCGTCGCACTATCTAACTGTATTA